AGAAGTTCTCCAATTTGAATGCTATCGGTGCTGGACACAGTGTTAATATCAGAAGTTATTTATTTAAGCTGTTATGATAGTTCAAAGTTAAGAGCATTTTCTTCCTCAGACTGTGTTCCTCCACACCAATTTTGAGGATTTGAACAGTAGTTTTCCAAATGCAATGGCAGACCCTCAGCAGATGCCAACTCTTTCTGATTCGGTATTCTTTAATTATACAGTTATATCAGTTCATATGCTGATGGTATAGCTTTCTAATCAGGGAAAGACACATTCATACATATTCCAGTATTCAGTGGTGAATATTCACAATAATAGTCCCTGGATCCAGGCCTTCCTGGTCTATGCCAGAGGTCAAGAGAGCACAGCACACTGCATCCCTGGGAAATTGGCAGGAGGTTTGGTAAACTGAGACACCAACCTCCATCCGCTTTGACCTGATGGCTGACAGGTGGCCCCGGACGGGACGTACATATTCTATTTCTACTTGGAAGGTCCTCACCTTGCAGTGGGAAAATGAGGGAACCACATAGCAGCCACTGCTGTCAGGCCCAGTTTGCAGATTGCTCTCTTCAGAAAGGATTGTATTTAAAACTGACCTTTAAACTGATTGGGAACTATGGGGAGTGGGGTGGGGGACCACTCAAGTTACTGCTGCTAATGCTCTGGGCTTCCTATTGATTATCTTGTAGGTAAGCTTCCCTATGAGACGCCTGGTGGACTCCTGGTGCTCTCCTTTCTCCAGTGGTCCTGGTGGGGCCTCCATCGCCTCACCTTGAGTTCTTTCAGGAGAACTGTGGAAAGCAGCCTCCAAGATTCATAGTGTATTCTGTGATACATAAGTAGAGAGAGTAAATTTTGCCTCTGAGCACATTTCATGAGTAGATTTTTGTTACTGCTAAAGGTTGTCAGCAGAGCCATGGTCATTCCTCTTTTACCTCTTAGAATCCTTAAGTATGTTATGGAAATTACATAAATTATTGAGCTTTATAAACTATGTTAATCTATGGTTCTTACAGCAAATGTGTTATACTGGATCCTTACAATCAAGCTAGCATGGTATCTGTAATGCTGAAGAGAATTCTGAAAAAAACAAAAGCTGTGTATCTTACTTGGCAATGCAGGTTGGCTATGTTTAATTAGTGTGCAAAGATAACACCAATTAAAGGCTCTTTAATCTAGTCCTTTTAACAAGGATATGTGAAAGTATTGCATACATAGTTTGGACATTCACTACACAGTATTTTCCAAAGCTCAAATTTTATCCACTCTTTTAACTCAAATCTGGTTGGGAGAAAATTTTCTGTAATATCCCATTTTGAAATAACAGTGTTATCAGTGCAGCCTCATTTTAAAAAAATACAAGAACATGATCTTCAAAACTAGAACTCATGTTCAAAATGTGATAAATCTTTATGTCAATAAACCAATGTAATGTTTTTTTTTGTTTATTTATACAACTAGAAGGGGTTTGTGTTATTCTTTGTTCATGTTTAGATACATACTACTACTCTGCTCAATATTCATTTATATAAATTTATTTACAGATATCTATAAACTGTTTATTTTCACAAACTTGATCTGAAAGCATCCACTAAATAATCATAATGACTTTAAAACATCTATATGTAAAATAAATGGAGAATACACAATGACATAGAGCCTATTGAAAACATTATTTGAAAATACAGAATATTTCATGTCATATCTAACGCAGACTTTTTAAAAGATTTATTTACTTTTATTGGAAAGGCGGATATACATAGGGAGGACAGATAGAGAGAAACAGTCCTGTTCGCCGATTCACTCTCCAAGTGGCCGCAATGGCTGGAGCTGAGCCAATCCAGAGTCAGGAGCATCCTCCAGCTCTCCCACGCAGGTGCAGGGTCCCAAAGCTTTGGGCCATCCACGACTGCATTCCCAAGCCACAGGCAGGGAGCTGGATGGGAAGCGGGGCTGCTGGGAATAGCATAGGCGCCCATGTGGGATCCTGGTGCATTCAAGGTGAGGACTTTAGCCATTATGCAATCGCGCCACCCACCCCTTTAAAAAAATACTTATTTTTGATTGGAAAGGCGGATATACAGAGAGGAGGAGAGACAGAGAGGAAGATTGCACACTGTCTTTTAATAAATTTATTTTTATGTAAATTGTAGTTACAAAAAAGAGAGAGAAGAGTAAGAGAGAGAGATTCCATTTATGGCTTCACTCCCCAAATTGCCACAATGGCAAGAGCCAGGAGGTCTCCCCTGCAGCTGCAGGGATCCAAGCAGTTGGACCATTTTTGTTGCTTTCCTGGGCACATCAGTAGGGAGCTGGATCTAGACTGGGACTTCAACTGACACCCATATGGAATGCTAGTACCGCAGGTGGAGGCGTACCTAAAGTACCATGGTGCAGCCTCAAAGCATATTGATTCTTAAGATTTAAATGTCTGTAATAAACTAAGTATACATTTTCTGAAGGTTATCTAACATTCATTTTCTTTTAATTTCCAGACCTACACAAATCTGTTGTTTTTGTTAGAAATGCACTGTAAAAATTGTTAACAGTTTATATGAGGAAGTAAAAAATATTAAATCTTTCATTTTAAAAAATCAGTTAGGTAGCTAACCATATTGGTAATGATCTGGATTCCAAAGAGGAATCCAGAGCACTTGGAGAGCTTTCTGAGGTATCTTTTTTTCCCACACTTTAAATCTTGGAAAAGAAGACTGTGAGTAAAATTATGACTACTACTGCTGAAAAAAATAAGAGATATTGTATCTTTTCAATTAAAAGAACCGGGTTTGTGCATGGTTCTATTAGCACCATATACTTTTAAACTCTTGGTATGCTGCAAAGAAAGATGTTTGCAATATATTCTCTTTAGTTGGTATCCCATCCACCCGGCATTGAATGGACAGATCCTGACTACCTTTCTGAAGCAAGACAATATAATTTTCCCTTTGTGTCTCTATTGCAAACCAGGTACAAGATACATAATCTTTCAGCTATCAAATATCCTGCACAGTATCCAATGAAACAGCAAGCTTTCAGTGTATATACTCTCAATTCTAAATTATAACTTGTTCTTTGTACATAAGATCCAGACAAAATCTGAGAGGCATACTCAAAGATAACAATAGCTTATGATCCCACTTTACATTTAGAATGAAATTTAAAACAGTCCCCTCCATCAAATCTTGAACAATCCGTACCATTCATACCTCATCCTTGGTTTCCTTTCCTATCTCCTTCCCCAGCCCATATAATTGTAGTTAAATTAACCTCAGCCAATTCCAGGAACAGGAAAAACTCTTTCTTGTCTCAGGTTATTTTCATAGCAAGTTGCCTTGCCTGGGACGTACCCGCACATTTTAAGTAGCTATCTCCTATTCTATTAGTTTTTGGCTAAAATGTCAGTTCCTCAGAAGGTTGACCCTTTGAATTTTTTTCTTCTTTGTGTTCCCTTTATTAACTCATTGATTGGTTCCTTGTGAACCTTTATTGCAGTCAACAAGTAATCCTTTCTCTAGAGTACCTGACTTTGTTTATTCTCCCTGTTGGAAAACATCTGTACAGTAACAGGGAATGTACATGTGTATTTCATCCACTAATCTCGCTCCAGTTTCCAGTTCCCAGGCCTTTCAATCTGAAATAGACACGTATTGGACTTGTATGTGCATAAGTAAATATCTAACCTACTCAAATATGAGCTAACCCAGTACCATCTCGAACTAAATGGCACTCAACAACTTGATTTTTAACTTCATCTTTAACATTAACTCAATAAAACGTGGGTCTCTCTACGGATCCCAGCTTGTGATTTTCAGAATTTTTGAGGACAAATTGAGAAAATGAATGTACATCGCTTTAAATTACTTAAGTATATACAAATGCAAGATAATTTTTCAAAGTCACCTAAGCCAATAAGAAAAAAAAATGAATATAGTACAATGATTTGGAAAAAAAAGTGTCAACATATTTTGTGTGAAAGTTGGCTTCTGTGAGAAGAGAACTGAAGAAGTGAGTTTCAAATGATGCCAGTAACCTTTTAGAGCTCTGCTTGTAACTGGATAATGGGCTCTGTCTCTGCCATTAGTAATACCGCGAGGGTCTAAGTCTCTTAAACACAGTTTGGAGGGATGAAAATTAGCTCAGCAACAGTACCTGAAGGTATCACTAATCTAAAATATGGAGAAACTGGAACATAAAAGCAAAAATAGTTACCTATTTTCTACTCCCCTTCTTTCACAGGTCATCCCAATCGGGTAACAAATCGTGGCTAATTATCTTGCCTTTTAGAGTATTAATTCAGCACCCCACCCCCAGAGAACCTCTTCCACAGACAGCGGTATGTAGAGACAGATGGGTAACAGGACGAATTCAATACTCCAACGAGTGTGGACAATGGAACGAGCTACCGTGCAACAATATCTCCTCCTCCGAGCTTCTTTTTTTTTTTCAATGAATATTCGTCCTACTGTGTCCCAGAGATATAGGTCATTGGAAATAGTAAGCGCCAACCCCAAGTGGTCTTCGTTATGTTTCCAAACCCAATGCGCTCCCGATTCCCGCACAGCTGAAGTGCATCTGAGCTGCCGGGAGAAGCGGGAGACACCTGTGCCTTAGGGACTCAGGTGAAGTCTCTAACCTTCCCGAGACTTTGCCTGGCGCTCTGCCACCCCTCAGCGGCTCACTTCTCATCCTCGGCTTCCCTGCCTCTGGGACCTCAGTCTCTGTTTTAACTGGTGTTTTTCCTGCCCTCTTCAACCTCCTCACCTCAGCAGAAAACACAGTGGGTTTCGCGGAACTGGGCATGCCTAAAAACAAGGAAAAGCTTGGATGGCAGGAAGAAAGCTTTTGCCCCCTCCGAGTTCCCCTCCCCTCTGCAGCTGCCTCCTGCCAGTCAGGCAACCCGACGAATTGCACGTCCCAATGAGGGCCCGGGACCTGCGTGGGCGCCCCGCCTCTCCTGGCACTCCCACCAATGAATGGTTGGCGGAGGTGGGCCGCACCCCGTACCCGCCTCTCCCGTTCAGGCCGCTGGTGGGAGCCAGGGCTCAGCGCGAGAGAGGGACGACGGAAGGGACCGCAGGTGTGGGCTCGGCTCGCGCAGCCCGACGGCTGGAGTGACGGGCGCTCTGCTTGGGCCGGTGAGGACTGACGGAGATCTCCTCACAGCTGAGGAGGCGGAGCCGCGCGGGAGCTGGGCGCTCTGAGGCGACCCCGCGACCGAGCCAGAGGGACCTCGCGCTTCTCCCGGGGACGGTCCGAAGTCCGCGCTATGGAAGAGGAGAAATATTTGCCTGAGCTGATGGCAGAGAAAGATAGCCTGGATCCATCTTTTGTGCACGCGTCGCGCCTTTTGGCTGAAGGTAGGACTTGTCCCCTCCGAAAGCGCTTACACTGCCTTTTGCGCATCTCGCCCGCGGCTTAATGAGGGGAGTGAAGTTGGGAGGGAGGCTCCTCTCTGCCCTCGTAGAACTGTCCCCCTGAAGGTGCTGGCTCCGGAGCTGGGCTGACAGAGCCTCTGTTCGCTGCAGGCGGCGGCAACCCCCCTCCAGCTCCCCCTACCCCTACTTAATTTGGGAGAAAGACCTAAAAACAGTAGTGTTGGACCTGTTAAAATCGTACTGATAGAAAAAAAAAAAATCTTAAGTCCAAGAGAGTCCACAGGGATATTTTCACTTCGCCGAGGGAAGGCAAAGCAGTTGAAAGTAAGCGGCGATCAATGTAGTGTTCTGAGATAGTTTTACCTAAACATCAGCATTTTGGAGGGGCTGCATTTCGAAAGTAATTTTGATATCTTCTAATCAAAGTCTTTCCTGTGGAAAGTCTTAGAATTAACCTTTATTAAAATGTGCGTGACCGTATGTATATGAATGTGGTAAGCAGAAAAGTACTTGTAAAATTATTTGAAGTGATCGGGGTAGCCTGAGAGAGAAGGGCCCTTGCTAATACTTTATAATTGATCAACTGTTTCATCAAGTGTGTATTTACTTTTCTGTACCTGGGCTGGTAAAGGAGATTTCATTCCCAGAGAAATGAATATATATACATATGAATATATGTGTCTTTGCATTGCTTTGAAACATTGTTACATTATTTCTCTCACACACACTGACCCAAACTTCCAAATAGGACAAGTTTTGAATAAATGGCTTCATTTACGTTGAGAAGACAACTTGTAACTACTCAAGACATCCATGGCATCTGTAGTAATCCACGCATAGCCTTTTTAAGCAGCTGCAGGTTTTTGGATGAATACTTCATTAGTAATGAATTGCTTCATCATCAAATTGGCTACAGTGCAGTTGGGTAGCTTGCGTTGTCATGGATTTGCTTACGGAGAAACTAAATGTGAAAACTTGTTCGACTCCAATCCCTCAGATTTAAAAGGCTTTTTTTTTTTTTTTTGAGACTCAGAAGGAAACATTTTTGCTTTGCCCCACTGTAAGTGATTTAGAGAAACATTGAATATAGTATTATTGGTGGATTATAATTTATAATAAAGTGTAAGGTGTATTCCAATATGTGCATGCTAAACAATCAGGGAAATATCAAAATATGGAACATGTGAGATAACTGTTTTCAAGGAAGTAGCTGATTTTGTAGTAAAAATGAAATTACACTTACTACTTTCTTGGTTACTGAAGGGAAAATATAGAAATTATAGAAGAAAACTAAAGTCAATTAAAAATAAGCATACATGCCATTTAAAAACAATTGCATAGAAATTGTAAGAGTACTGGAAAACAATGACTTTAAGATTCTTTGAAGTGATTAAAAATTCAGTGATGCCTTGTCTAATAATTTACTTGAATTTCGTTTCCTGAAGCGTCTTCATTTGGCTAATAATTTTACATTTAAAAAAGTTAAAATTGTTTATTTTCTCTGCCCTGCTCGTTAGAGTTCTCTTTAGGACAGCAGGCTCAGCGATTAATCATCAGCCATTAATGAGAATTGTACTTGAGAACTGCAAACTACTGCATGTAAGGGACTCTTAGAGTAGGTATTTCTGCAGCTGCTGAAACACTCAGAGAAGGCTATGCATCTGTCTGGTTCCCCAGCAATTTGTCTTGCCCAGGAAGTTGATTTCATGATAGTTCAGAAGATGCTCTGATGCACTTGTAATTTAATTTTTTCCCAGCAGGGGGAAGCATGTCTTGCTTTTGTAAGCAATTGGGATTAAAAGCTCCTAGATGGAGACAAGCACCTAAGTAAGAAACAAAGAGGGTACTCACATTTGAGGTGAATCATATGGAGGCAGAGGGTTTGGAGGAAGTGTTGACAATAAGTTTGATGTCCTTGAAGTACCTAAGGAGTAGTGCGAAAAGTATTAAAGCGTAAGGTGCTTCCAGTAATTGTACATGTGTCTCTTTTATGTGCATATGAAAGAGAGGCATGTATTTTTTTTGCAGTGTCAAAGAATCTGAATGTACATTTTACATCGAAGATCATTCATTATGTTTCCAAAGGCCATTTGCCAATATTTCCAGGTTTTGTTTCAGATTTTTCTGGAAGTGTGTGAGCTTGAGATGCTTTGATTTCTCATACCTGGAAATGCGCTGATTGAAGGCAGTGGCTATAAATAAACTTGACATAGATATTCATTTGGAAGGAAAGTGCACACTGAAGTACGTTTCAGTCAGAACAGTGCAGACAGTCTGAAGACTGAGTGAGTAATAAAGATGATCCCGATGATCCAGTTCTTCAGAATGATTTTCCTGAAGCTGATACATATTAGATAGTCATAAACCAATGGGTCCTCTCAATTTATTTTGCTTTTTGATTGGCAGCAGATATATATCAGTGCTCAATAGTGACTGCCTCAGTTGGAATTGATTTAGGAAGGATATGGGTTAGAAGTACTAGCTTGCCGGATTTGTTTGTTTTGTTTGATTTCACTTGTTTTTGTAGTGCAACTTCAGGAGGAATGATTGTGAGGCATTACCGAAAGAACTAGAAGTCAGACATTGAATGCATGTTGTTGTAAGGAGAGATCTTTCTTAAATAACATGGTTTGAAGAGCATTTATGTGTTGGATTATTTAAAATAGTTTTGCTCCTGTGATTCTCATGTTGTTAAGGTATCCATTGGTTATGGAAAGTGCTTCCAAATATGATAAAATAGCAAACTAAGCACAATTTTTAATATTCTCCTTACTCTTTGATTTGCTTGCCAGATGAAATTACAGAAGGATATTTTTATCTATGTTACTTCGGAGAAGTGCATTAAGCTGTGAACCCAGATATCAGGATTTTAATTCCAGTTTCACCTAAGCTGAAACTTTTAAAATGTCTCTTCCCTGAGCCTACTTTTCCTTGTCTCAAACTCAGAAGTGGGACTAAGTGATGTATATGTGTCTTTGCAGTTTTAATTAAGTCTCAGAGTACTGCAGATGCAATGGAGTGACGTTTGTGTATTCAGAACACAAAAATCAATGGCTGCACATCTATGAAACTTTTAAAATTCCTTCCTAGCTTAGTGATTAATAATATATTTATTGAACTATAATGTAACTTGAGGCATATACATTATCTTTGGTACTGGGTCAGATTTATGTTCTTGAGTCTATTAAACTATTATCAAGGCTTGGGACCATAAATATATTCACATGAATATATTCTTGTTTGCATCAAGCATGACTGCTGGCAGACACAGATCTGTTCAAATTTATAGATCTAATTATAGTGATTCAATACCTTTAGGAATATTAATAAATCCTTATCCAGTTGAAAGTGTTTTGGGCAAGACTTCCTAGCCTGAATTTTTCACAACCATTGGCAGATTCATCATTGTTTTAGTTGACTCATCAGATGATAGAGTAAAATATTGCTGAATATTCTAGCACTTAAAGTAATCTTGAAATAATCTTGGTAGAACTTTCAAGCTGTGGTGATTAGCTTGGTCTGGCTTTAATTTTATTGCACTTCAATGAACTTTTAAGAGCATGAGGAAAGCAGAGGTTTGTATTTGTCCAAATGTTGTCTTGTAGCGAGGGCTAGTCTCGGATTCTCAACAATGACTACAATTTCTACAACTAGGTTGTCACTAAGAAACAGGATCCATGGAACTTTTTAAATGCAGTTTTCTTTTGATTGATGAAATCTTTTAAAGAAATATATTTAAGATCATCTTGCTTATGTTGATTAGACATGCCTTGCTTTCTCTCTGATACTGCTTCTTACATTGTAAAATTGAAAAAGTAGTAACAGTAGAAACAATTCTTTTAAATTAAAAATGTTTATTGTGATAATATGAGCATTTTTTGTAAACAGAGATTCATAAGCAAAATGTATAGAAATATAAGATTGTTTTATTTTATAGATTTTCCTTGACATTTTAGGGCCTTCGTGGATTTGACCTCAATTTGAATCTTGTTTTGTAAGAGAAGGACAGTTAGCCTGTTCTTAATGCTCTCTGGATCACTGCTGAGTGAAACTTAAACTCAAAAAGAAAACGTTGAAATAAATTATCCTGCAAATGGTTATTCCACTGAGGGATTTTTAAGTGTTATGTTCCTTAGTCAACGATCACTTGTCAACGCTCACCTTGAGCTTGATTAGCTCTGGTTCTTCTTGTTTCAAGGGTGATTCCAGAGCTCCTCAGGCCTCCTCTTAAACCTTCTAAAGCCTCATTGCCCTTCACCCAGAGCAGGTGATTTCAGTTTCTTTGATTAAATGAGTGAATTAATCCATCCCGTTTTCACCAATCTCCTTGAACCTTACATTCTTTTGCTTGTATTTGCTATCTCATGTTCCCGAAAGATGATTTTTTTTCACCCAAGGTTAATTTTCCTTTTAGTGTGTCTGACCCTAATGCTCTTCATCTTGTTTTGCAGCTATATTGTTTTTCAAAATTTTCCTCTTTATCTACTTTTTCAGTGTAGGACCCTGTCAACAGGATCTAATTTGTTACATAAAAATAATTAAAATGAATATTTCTTTGCCAAAATTATCTAATGTTATTAGTCTGTAACTAGGCACTGATGTCTTAACTTACCTCTTTAAAACCCCTCATTCCTATCCAGAAGGTGATGGTCCTCATGACAGGAACATCTCCTTATTGCTAAAGCCTGATCAACGTTTTGTGACTTCTTGCTAGGTCTCTTGACTACCATTTCCATTGCTTATCTTTTTTCCAGTTCTTTTCCTTCTCCCTTGGCAGCCAAGCAGTGGACATATTTATTTTACTTATCTGATTGTCCATTTAAACACCCCCCCCCCAACCACTACGACAGTTCTGAGGAATGATTGATTGACTGTCACATGTGTTAGAAATTCCCACAGCCTTCAGCGGTTTAATCCATACACTTTAGCAATTTGGGCAGCAGTTCTAGCCTTGCTATTTGGTTTCTCTCAGGTGTACTATA